AATGTTCTGAAGAAGCATAGTAGATGATGCACAGAAAATATCAATGAAAGTTAAGTACAAGGATGGAAAATTTCATAATTATCATGGAACCTAATTCTGAATTTAATTTATTTGATAAATAAAATGCTTCCAATATCATTGCTATTTCAATTATTAAACAAAAATATTCATAGTATATAAAAACACACACATATACGGTTTATACAAATAATACAAAATATATACAAATAAGTGGGACGGAGAGGGAAATGAAGAAAGTGAAATTAAGAAGAGTGTAAAGGTTAGGAAGAAGATTGTAGAAAGGAATCGCGTATTATTGTTTCAAATTGTTATTGACAGCCGAAACAATTGTTTCAATTTAACATACTTCATCACACTAAATAACTTTTGTTGCACGAGATAGTAGTTATGGCTTTGTTAGCCTTATTGGATGTAAATAGCGCGTTTGAAAAAAATTTTATGCCATATGTGGGCTTTGGAAAAATAACGCTTTGCTTAATATAGTTGTTTGTAGCGCTTTGCTTAATATAGTTTGAATATACTCGTATTAAACGGATACATTGGCGAGCTCATTGGTGAGCTCAACTTAAAGTGTGATTCGCTCGGTGTATCAGTGATTTTGAAATCTATTCAATCGAAAATGGGGTTGTCTGTGACCGTAATTTCAATTGTTATGACTTACTGAATATTACATATATTCGGATCGGTTGTAGTCGCGTTTATTTCGTAAGAGCGCGCGCTTAATACCGTATTGCTTTGAGAGTTTGTTCGTTTGTTGTTCATCTGTTATGTCATCAATTTGATTAATTTGTCTTTTTTCACGTCGTATTTGTTTGAAAAGAGTTCATCTCGTTCGGCAGTCGGGCATCGTCATTATTTGTCATTTTAAGTTTCTGTACCCGTATACCAATTTTCATCTAATCTTGAAATATAGTGTCAATTTGTTTGTTGAATTTGCAGCCACAGCATAGAAAAGGGGCGATTGAAGTTTGCCTTAGTTGTGGATCAAGTGTTTTTGACGTGGTTTGGCATTCCCGAAAATTGCATTACTTCCCTAGTTGTAACACGCTTTAAAATCTTCTCTTGCTTGAGCCGCACGGGTTTGTGATGGGTGGTAATTCGTTTAAATATCTAGTTTTTTGGTATCCAAATTTTTATTGATATATTTCCAATCTAAAGTCCCGCTGTGGAATTTTTTTTATTTGACTGATTTTGATATTTCTTTCTTATGTATTATATTGATTAAATGCCGGCATTTGTCGACTTGTTTCGGGTATAGTTCAATTGACTTTGTAATACTTCATTTCAGATTTGCAACGGCAACAATAGTCTTATGGTTTGTGAATCAATTTTTTCAGACTAATTCTGGTGTTGTCCAGTCCAGTGATGAGTTGAAATCTTGTAGGTGATTTTTTAGGGAACAATATGTTTGTTTTGCTATTGTTTCTGTATTGCTGTTGTTTTGCTGTCTGATTCTGTTGCTCTTTGATGAAGTCATACTCCTGATTTCGAATACATGTATTGCAATTGTATATTTACAAATACAAAGAACAGTTCCAAGTAATGACTGATAATTCAGACATAATCTAAGTTTCACTGCAAGCCCGAGTTCGTTAATTACTTGTCTATCGTTATCCCCTTTTTCTCTCCTAACGAATGGTCGCTTTTATGCTGGTTTTGGTATCCTTAGGGCATGACGCCTTATCGTCATCGTACCCTACAGGACATCTAATTGTTACGTATTTTATGACTGAGAGATTGCTTCTAATTTTAAGATTAGTATGACTTTAAGTTTAAACACGTAACCTATTAACCAAAAGCAGCAAAATTACCCAATATCCTATACTAACCAATGTAGCCTTTATGATGATATTATTGTTGTTGTCGTTGTGGAGACTGATGGAAGCGGTCCAATCCTTAGCTCGATCTCTATTGCACCCTCTTGAGATTTTGTCTGATCTCCACTCCCAACAACGAATGCAAGATATCAGAATTCACCAGCACACAATTGATATTTTATTGTCAACTTGATCGTTACAATTCTCCAGTATCTTACGAATAAATACTATTACTTTCAGACTTGACACTCCCGTCTTATCTTTTTATTACAAACCATGACGTGCTTATATATATTAATTTGAGTTCCTAATTTAATGTACTATCAGGGACGGCTATGGTCTGCGACGCGAATGACGCACACCAACTAAGAATTGTTATGACCAACTGGTTTTGCCTTAATTCAACGAATCTGAGTTAAACTCGATTTACAGCTAATAATACTAGTTTTGCCCGAATTACCGAAACTCGATTAACTTGATATTTTTGAACCTACAAATATCTCCCTTGATTGGTATATGGAATATACCCAATTGTCCGCGAAATTTGACCTTAACTTGTCTGTTGCTATAAAGAAAACACTTCTAAAAAAAATACACATGAAAATGAATAAGCGTAACAATCGGAAAGATGGAAGAAGTAAATAGTGGTCAGAAGGAAAAGAAAGAATTTGGAAGCAGTAGGCGTGTTATTTGTTATTTTTGTATCAAACAGCCAAAACACGTTTATATTCAATACATTTCGTTCCACAATGAGTAAGTTTCGCTTGCTGCGATTTATTCAATTAGCTAGGAGCATTAAGTTTTTACCGTCGTACAGGCGATACAACTTTTATTTCAAAGTATGATCCCAACAATTGGGTGCAACCTTCTTGAAAGGAACACAACCAACAAAGACGACATCAACAGATCAACTCACAAAATCTCAAAAAAAGGAACTCAAGATAAGTTTCACGTTCAATATTATATCTTTTAAGTCGCATATACGGGTCCATGCTTATCTAATAGATCTTCTTGTCTTCTAATAGCTATTGTACAAAATCTACAACTCTACTACATCGACAAGAGGATCCGGTTCAGCGACGTAACACGAAGAAGACGAAATCGCCTAAGGACATTTCTACGGACATTCTGTATTTCATTCAATTTACTGCATTTTATTAATTGGTATGTACTGCAATTTTCTTTCCTATTTCTTTGGTTATAAATAATCTATATTTCCCATGAGAGCTAGTGTCTTCCCATTTTGATTTATTTAAAAAGGCCAAATCTAGTTTAGCTCCAACTGATAAGAGTACTAAATTGCCTACGCCAGAAGACGTATTAAAACCACCGTTAATAATTAAATCTCAGTTGCCCGATAATCATAATATGCAGTCAACTAAACAATCGCCTAAACCGTCTAGTCAGAATTATGATTTATTCGAACCTATAACTTCGTCGTCAAGTAGGAGACCCCTATCACATTTTGGAGATAATGACCGTGATAATTATAAAATACCGCAATTTTGGGTTCACTCTCCCCTTTTATGGATTCGATATGTCGAATCTGCTTTTTCTAGAGCTGATATTACATCAGAAACTAGAATGTTTGATGAAGGGATAGCTGTTCTTGACAGTTCAATTATTGAAAAAACAGGCGCGGATTTGTTAGACATAAGCGCTACAAATCCGTATACAGAACTTAGAGAAGCCCTAGTAAAAAATTATGCACCGACGGAAGATCAAATGCTTCCGTCATTTCTTAACTCAGGGGTTTTAGGTGACCAATTGCCGTCAGACTTATTAAAAAAAATTAAAGTTACTCATAAATCCAGACATAGAGGTGACCCTTTTGCTCGTGCTTTATGCTAAAAAAAATATTTCTGTTGCGTCAGACGATGATAGCTTAGAAGAGTTATCAGAGAAGGCGGGTAAGATTTATAGAAATTCTAATAATTCACCGGATTCGAGCTACATTAAAAGTCGGACCCAAAATAAGTTGATGGAAGCTAAAATTAATACGTTAACCGATAGTGTTAATGCATTAACCAATCAATTGCAAAGCCAAAGTGTAAGTTCAAATAATTCTGATGTCACAAATAAGTTTTATCCGAGTTACCCGCGATATCGTACCAATTGGCAGCCGAGGGGGCGTTTCCAATCTAACTTTAGACAGCCCTTTAATAATCATAGATTTTCAGCTCCAATTAGATTTCAAAATGCACCTAGGAACGGTAATTTCAATTACCGTTATGCCAACCCAAACACTTCATCACCTAGCCTAGCGGATGGTGTTTCTATCATTCGACTTTTGACGTAATGCTTTTAGATGCGCGCCTGGTTGTACATTTCAGGGAAAAGGACAGGCCACCCAGTTTCGACGCTGACTAAGCGTGTCACATCTCACTCTAATAAGCGTCAGCAATTATTTTTATACGATCCCTATTCCAATAATAAGTTTTTAATAGATTCGGGAGCTGAAATCAGTATTTTGCCATCACGTAAATATGCCGTTAATAGAAAGTGCAATTAATGGTACTTCAATATCTACCTTTGGTAAATTACGTTTAAATTTAACTTTTAACCACGATGTACTTTTACCGTGGTCATTTACGATAGCTGATGTGCCCATTCCAATTATAGGAAATGATTTTCTAACCCATTATGGACTTCTAATTGATTTTAAAAATAAAGTGGTAATAGACCCACTTACTCAAAATATTATAAGAACACTACCGGTAATTTAAATTGTTTTAGCATATTCTTCATCTAATGATAATGATGAATATGAAGCCCTATTAAATAAATTCCCTTCCCACAGATTTTGATAGAAGACTATAAGTCGCCGAAGCGTAAACATAACGCTAGCCACAGAATAGTTACGACCGGAATTCCAGTTCATGCAAAACCGCGACGCCTAGCACCATTAAAAGCCGCCGCCGTTAAAGCCCAAATTAATAAAATGTTAGATCAAGGAGTCGTATCGCCCTCTAGTGGAGAGTGGTCATCACCCATCACAGTAGTCCTTAAGAAAAATGAGGATATAAATAACCCAGACCACTATTGTTTGTGCGGGGATTTTAGATTATTGAACCTACAGACCAAGAAGGATACTTATCCAATACCCCACATTTAATCTTTTGCCAATGAAGTTAGGGGGTGTACTGATTTTTCAGAAATCAGTAATCAGTATTTTATTTTTTCACCACACATGAAATACACTAAATGCATACGGAATGTAAAAGGAAGCAAAAACGGATAATTGGAGGTGAAAGGAGTCGCGAAAACCAAAATTGGTTATCGAGCAGCGACACCTGAGCTAAAGTCTAATAAATGAATCATAAAACAATGAAAAAAGTCAAACAATGAATAAAAGAATATAAAGAAGTGAAAAATCGAGACGACCTGAATCCACGAGACGCTCGAAACACAGAAAAGCAAAACTAAAAACGACTCCAAGCACATATGTGCGAGTAACTATGGGAACGGCAGCAGGAATGCAGTACAGTGCGATGACAGGATACCGAGCCGATATCGCAGCATTATGGAATTGATAGTTATTTAAACAGATTTTAAATATATCCCGGTAGGGATATTATGCCGATAACACGGCGTAATCATAGTTATAAATGTTTGCCAAGAGTTCAAATAAGATTGCAAGTGCTGGGGTGCAAGAAGATTGCAAGTGCTGGGGTAAGTCGAATCGTCATTAATACATTACAGATAAAAATTATTCTAATCTGTGAAAAACAGGTTAACTCAACAAAGTAGATGGGGGTAACAATAAATAGCGTTGTAAATTAGTAAGCATACCGCTTGGAATCGTTGAGAATATAGAATGAACACGATATGAACAGATGGATGAAATAACCACTGCAGCACTGAGTATCAACAGTGCTATATATATACAAATTTCGAAAATGCAACAAAGCACAATAATAATAAAGTGGTAAATATGATAGCTTTTTACAAAAATATATACGAGATAGTTATTAAATTGTATTTGGTGAGAGACCAATATCAAGGATCATGAGTGTAAAACTGTTGAAAGATACTGCTAACACTATACGATTAGGCTATGAGCAAAGTTGAATTACCATTGTATGACAAATGGCCATACAGCATAATATAGTGCAGAGCATGCACTATGGAAGTAGATGATAATAAAGAAGCAATTTAAATATTTACATGAAACATTCAGATTCACTTATTACAGGTACTGTCGACTCTGGGAGGTTGTGGACCTAGTCAAGTATTCTGCTGGCAGTGCCGAGGGAAAGTCAGTGAGCACATCAAACAGATGTGCTGGAGAAAGACAGGTAGGATGAAAGCATGAATTTTTTATATTTTATTTTGAAAGTAGCATATGTGGAGTCACGTAAACTTTGGGGAATGTTATTCCAAATTATTACGCCTTTGTATTTCAGGGAATTTTGAGATTTGCTCAGCGAAAAGCGAGGTACAAAAAGATTGGATTTGGTCGAAGAGCGTGTGTTGTGTTCATGCACAGAGGTAAGCGAAACAAAATAATTGTCGAACGCTGTGGGCAAGTAATTATTCTGAAATTGGTGCATAACTTTGGCAATCTCTAGAGTATAAATGTCGGATAGTTTCAACACCCTGGTTTTATGGTAAAGGGTGTTTAAGTTTGTACGAATAGACGCTCTGGAGAGAGTTCTAACAGCTTTATTCTGTAAGACCTCCAATTTGTGAATGTTGGTTTGTGTTGCAGAGCCCCATGCAGTTATAGCATATTGGATGTGGGATTGAAAAAGAGCAAAATAAATGGTTCGCAGGGTAGCATCCTGCACATAATGCCTAAGTTTTCCCAAAATCCCAACAGACCTTGACAATTTCTTGTGCATCTCGGTAATATGAGTGTTCCATTTTAAGTTACTATCTATATAGAGCCCGAGATATTTAAAGGATTGAACAACTTCCAAAGCAACCCCCCTGATTTTGATTAACATGTTGGAATGTTTTTTAATTGATTTAGGACTGAATAGCATGACTTTAGATTTTTTTACGTTCACAGTGAGTTTGTTGCATAACATCCACTCAATTATTTTATCTATTTCAGTGTTCATAGTATTTTGGAGCGTGGTTGAATCTTTGGCACTGGCAAGCAAGCAAGCGTCATCGGCGAAGAGTTTTGTTAAAAGATTCGAACAGTTTCGACAAATCATTTATGAAAAGTAAGAAAGCCAATGGTCCAATGACCGAACCTTGGACAATTCCACAGTGGATGGGCAACATCGGAGACCTATGACATCCTACTTCAACAAACTGTGATCGACCACTCAGGTAATTACATAATAGTTTGCATGCGTTACCTCTAAAACCACAGTGTGTCAACTTTTGGACAAGAATTTGATGATCAACTGTGTCAAAGGCCTTCTTTAAATCCAGGAATGCACAACAGACAGACTCCCCTTTATCAATTTTTCATAGATAAATGAAATAAGATCTAGGATGGCATGGGAAGTCGAGTGATTGGATTGAAATCCGAATTGGCATTTGTCGATCAGATTGAATTTGTTACAGAAGTTGAGCATTCTTTTATAGACTAATTTTTCCAGGACGATGCCAATACAGGGTAGAATTGAAATTGGCCTATAATTTGAAGGATTATTTTTGTTGCCACTTTTGAAGATGGGTATTACCCTAGCAATCTTCAGAGCGGAGGGAAAAATTCCTAAACTAAATGATAGATTAAAGAAATGACTCAAAGCTGGGGATATGCTGTCTGCGACTAATTTTAAGAAAAAAGAAGGAATATTATCATGCCCAACTGCTTTGCCTTTTTTCAGGTTCATTATTACTTGGTGAACTTCTAGAGGTGTTGATGGCTCCAGAAAAAACGAATTCTGTGTAGGAGCACCCAAAAAGGCTTTGAAAGATTTCGTACTGTGTGGGACATTATCGGCAAGTCTCTTTCCTACGGATGAAAAAAATCTATTAAATTCAACGGATATCGCGACAGGGTCTGAGACTATGGTACCATTTTCAAGCTTCAGTTCCGAGATAGTGGTTTCATCATTGGACCTTACTTTGATGATGTCATTTATAGTTTTCCAAGTGCGTTTAACATCGCCTCTGTTGTTCTCTAGGATGTTATGGTAATACATTTGTTTTGATCTCCTCTGCAAATGTGTCAAAATATTTTTATATTTTTTAAAGTGGAGACGCTGGGATAAATTTCCCTTCAGGAACTTACTTTTGAACATCTTGTTCTTATGTTTAATGGAATTACGAATTCCTTTAGTAATCCAAGGTTTGGAATAAAATTTGTTTTCTCTACGAGAAAATGGTTTTAATGGGGCATGCTTATTGATTAACCACTTGAAGTGACTAAGAAAAGTATCAAATGAGCTATTGAAGTTTACTTCAGATAATATAACACTAGTATAATTATTGCACATTGACTCAACTTCTAGCCTGAACGAGTCAGCACAAAATTTAGTCATGTCCCGTTTCATGCGAGTGTTTGTTTTAACGTTACTATTAGTTGCTGGTAATGTGCACATTATGGGAAAGTGGTCGGTGAGATCACTGAGCAAAATAAATGACGAAGTGCGGGAATCTATGATATTAGTGTAGATGTGGTCAATTAATGTGTGGGAGGTTGAGGTCACTCTGGTTGGTTTGGTGATAAGTGGACATATGAAATTGGACATTAGCATATCAAGATACTTGGTAGTAGGATTGTCACAAGAATTAAAAAGATTTATATTAAAGTCGCCTAATATAATAAATTGCTTTTTAGCCATCGCCAGCTTCTCAAATAAACAAGACATTGCTGTGGTGAATGATGGTATATTATTTTTTGGATGTCTATATATTACACCGACAACAAGATTTTGAATTTTTGAGGTTGGTTGGAAATATTTGAGTTCGATCCACAAGTCCTCACAGTTTGGGAGGCAAAGGCTGAAGTCAGTGCATAAATGAAAGTTTAGATTGTCCCTAATATAAAAACCAACACCGCCTGCGCGAGTAGAGGAGGGAGCATGAATGAAAGTGTAACCAGAGATATCAATATTGACAACAGCAGTTTCACTCATGATCCTAGTCTCGCTTAGAGCAATAATTTGAGGTGGAATACAAAAATTTGAAATTAGCTCAACTAGATTATCGGCATATTTTGCCAATGATATGATGTTATGGTGCAATATAATAAAGTCTGTTGCTAGAAAACTTGAAGTTACTCTATTGATATTGGATATTTCAAGGTATCGACTTGCAATAGAAGGAATTTCGGGATGAAAATTGGTTGATTCCCAGGTAGGATAAGGATCACTCATAGATGAGGAATGCTAATGGATTCGAATTAGATAACATTAGGTTGGTTGAGGCGAGGGGGGCAAAGTCATTAGATGGGCTATTCCAATGGGGACTGAAGTTATTTAAACCAATAACATGATAGAATAATTTACTAGGATATGGCAGTAAAAAATTAAATGGACTCATCTTATTTTATCAAGATCTTCATCTTCAGTTATGGATAAAGTGTTAGTGTCTTTGTTCTTTTTTATCAGCACTTTGCCATTTGATGTCCATAGGAAGGCGTAACCACATTGTCTTTTGAGAATTTTCGCTTTGTAAAATAAGTTCTTGTTTTTGTCGGTCAAATTCTCAACAACAAATGCTTTGGATAGGTTCCTTATGGATGTTGAATTGGTAGCGGTTTTGATCAAGTGACGATTTTTGAGAATTTTAGCTCTGATTTTGCGATTGGTAAATTTTGCGACAATCGGTTTATGGATGTTGGAATTTCGCGTTGGACAACGATGTGTTACAGAGATGTCAGATGGTTTGATGTCCACGTGGATGATCTTTCCAATTTCTGTTATCAATTTGTCGGTGTCCTCATTTTCATTAGGTGCGATGCCATGAAATTCTAGATTATCCAATCTAGATCGGCGCTCTTGTTCCTCAATTTTTTCTGTGGCATAGTATAATTCTTCCTCCAAGTCATAGACCAACTCTTCTAGATCTCTTATTTTTTTGCCATAGAGCATAAGTTTGTCATCTGTTATTTTTTGCTTGGCAATAATCTCATCATATTTTGTTGATTGAAAACTTTGAGATTCTTTAATAGAAGCTAGATCTTGTTTTATTTCTTTTAGAGACACCATTTGGTCCTCCATACATTCTTTTAGCCCAGGACTCATAGGCAGGTATTCAGAGGTGAAGTTCGCGGAGTTGAAGTTTTCGGCAAGGCATTTGGCAATTAAAGATGGTAATTGGTCTACTATATTTCTTTGTATTGCCTCCTGGAGATTCATCTGGAAGTTAGCTTGCCCCTCCTGTTGTTGCGTTAAGGGGCCAATTGGTGAAAGGCCAGGATCCGGGAGACTCCTGGTCAGGCATTGCTTGGGCTGCGAAGCCATGTTGTTATAGATGATTGACTTATATGCTGGAATTGATGTTGAAGTACACAGTGATGATTCAGTTAGACTATTCTGCTAGTTTTAGGTTAGTTTTTAAAACCTGTAGATCTTAATCAAATAGCGAATAATGACCTAATGATAATGATAATGACCTAATAATAATGAAATTGACCTAAAATCAGCTTATTTCCAAATTCCGTTACACCCGGATAGTCGCGAAAAATCTGGCCCTTTGGTTTATCAAACAGCCAGGCCAGCTTCCAGCGGCTAATAGATGTTACTAGGCAATTAACTAATGTATTTGCATATGTTGATGATATTCTTGTGTATAGTAAAACTGTAGACAAGCATAAGCAACATTTGCATAAATTATTTGAAACTTTAAATGAATATGGCCTAGTAATTAACAGAGAAAAGAGTTCATTTGGAGTTGATAAGCTAATCTCTTCGGTTTTTTGGGGGAGTTTTTTAGTTGATATGGAGGGTATTAAACCAATGGAATCTAAAGTAAAAGCGTTAAGAGAATTCTCCTTACCTCAGACAAAACGGCAGTTACGATTGTATTTAGGCGGCGCCTTCACGTATTATCAACGATTTTTACCCAATTGTGCTTGTATTTTAGCTCCTTTACATAAACTAGCAGCCAATTATGTCAATAAAAATCAGCCTGTAATATGGACAGCCGACACTAAATTAGCTTTTGAAAAGTCTAAAAATGCTCTGAGTGATTTTATTATGCTTAATCACCCGAAACCGGATGCAGAACTTTCAATAGCCGTTGATGCAAGTCTAACTGGTGTTGGCGCTATCGCACTGGGAACCTCTCTCAGTTTTCAGCAAAGCTCTCAACAGCGCGCAACAAAAATATTCCACATTTGATCGAGAACTCCCCTAGCCCAACAGTGTCAGTGAACTTTTGTGATCCCAAGGTACCTGTAGCAGAATACTCCATACCGGAACCACCCAATTGTAAAAGAAATACTATCAACCGCGTAGAATATTGCAATGCCATCGTACATAAATTATCGTCAGCATATACTAATATAACAGTGTATGTCTGCCAAAAATCTGTCACAGAATGGCAGGCGAATAGATTCTTTTTTGGTTCAATTTATGACAAATCGAAATCTTATATGGATGATCCTCCGTCTCCCTTATATTGCCAAGATTGGGTCCACTCTCTCAAAGCTGAAAATATAGGTGATCTGAAATCAACCTCTGAAAATTCTTGATCTACTAATAATGAAGTAGAATACGTGGCCAACAACGACAACTGGAAAAAATTTTAATGCACATTTGGCTCTTACTACAATTTATTATCAGCAAATGAAAGGTATTCTTTTAGGCCCATTTTCAGGATTATCCACCTGTAGTATTAATTCGGGATCTTGTACTGTAGGTACTCAAACAATAATTTGGAAAAATTACCCACTGATAGATTGTCCCCCTTTAAATTTTAATACGAAAATGGCATTGCATTACAATACGTCAGGTGAAACTTACCGATTAGATTTTCCGGAATTGGGGGCTAGCATTCACCAGTGGGGTTCATGTGGTGCCTATGTTCAAAGATGTTTTAATACAAAAACATTATGCACAAATAATGCACTTTTATCTGAAACGCACCAATGTAGCTCATTGAAGGCTGCTGGATTCATCAATTTCAAATATCCAAAACTAAGGTATGGTTCCGTTGTGTCGGATTCTGTTTCTAGCACTATTACTAGTTTTATTCAGGAAAATACTGACAGGATAACCGAGGTAATTGTCGA